TTGGGCTTTTAAACGTTTAGCCCATTTTTTTCGATCGAAAGACGGAATTTTTACCTCGTTGTGTCCGCTATCCAGATCTTCATCCGATGAACTCATTTATGTTCGTATATCACACCAATAAGTATGATTTGTGATGAAATCGTCTTGAGAGCGAATTTTTTTAGAGAGAGAAAGAGAGAGAGACTTTGAACGGTAAATAGCACTTTTCAAACGGTAAAAAGCAAATCCCTAAATATAACTTTGCCTTCAAATTAGGCTGTATCTGGTATATTCAGTTCAAACTTCAAAAACCTGAGCTGCTAGAGAGAGAAAGAGAGAGAGAAGAATGGAGAGAGCAACACCTGTGCGGAAAACCCACACTTCGACCTCAGATCTGCTGACGTGGACCGAGGCTCCGCCGCCTGGCTCTTCCGCCTCCGCCAACGCCTCTCGCTCCGCCTCTCATCCCAACCAGGTAACAGCCACATTGCGTCATTTTCCGGCCATCCACCTCACACATTTACTGTACTTCCTGATTTTATAATTTCGAATTTTAATTTAATTTTCCGAGCAGCCAGCCGATGGAATTGGTAAGGTGCTTTTTGGAGGACAGATCACTGATGAGGAAGCTGAAAGCCTCAATAAAAGGTTTCGTTGTACCAATTTTCCAGATTTCCTCTTTAATTCTTCTTCTGTTCTTTCTGATTAGGTTTTAGATTTCATTTTCTATGTTAATTAAATCTGGAATTTTGTTGGTCTGTTGTTTTTATGTAATGCATCTTACTTTTGTGTGCAATTTTACAAGTGTGAAACTTTACTCTGTTTTTTTTACTTTATTGGATAGTGATAAATATTTTAATTAGGTTATAATGAATCCGTTGAGCTTGTTTCGATAGATCCATTCTACTGTGAATTGGAACCTTATGTCTTGATTCGAACTGGTTTTTTTTGAGTTATTATTGTGGTGGATTTGGGATCTACTCTATATGGAAATCCTCTCGTTGAATTCAAATCCTTCGATCCGTATGCGCTCTTATAGATTGTCTTCATTTCAATTGGTTTCCTTTTATTTGCAGTTTCGTATTTCACTCTTGATTGGTGATTTGTGGCGTCATAGTGTTAATTACAACAAGTAGCTTTCTTGTTTTTCCACAAAAAAAAAAAAAAAAAAAGAAAAACGAGTTTTTTTCTTGTGTGTATTAATGCCTTTCCATTTAAAGGATCTAAGGAAATGTTCCGTTTTTCGACTTTCAGAAAACCTTGTTCGGGCTATAAACTAAAGGAGATGAATGGCAGCAAAATATTTGCAGCCAATGGGGAAGATGACACGTCGGAATCTGGAATTGCTGATGGGAATTTCAATAACCGGACATCAGTTCGTATTGTGCAGGTATATTCATTCATTTGACCTAACAAAGGGATTGCAGTATATATTAGCATTCGTCGAAATATCACAACTCAATTATTATTTAATTTATTTATTTTTCTTATTTGCTACCAGCAAGCTGCAAATGGGATAAGTCAGATTTCGTTTAGTACCGACGAAAAAATTTCTCCAAAGAAACCAACCACAATCCCTGAAGTTGCGAAACAGCGTGAACTGAGTGGGACATTGGAAAGTGATTCGGAGAGCAAGATGAAGAAGCAACTTTCAGATGCTAAATCGAAGGAGCTAAGTGGAAATGACATCTTTGGCCCTCCAGCCGAAATTCCTCGTCGCTCATTGGCTGCTGCAAGAACTATGGAAACAAAAGAAAGCAAAGAAATGGAAGAACCTGCGTTTCGAACTATACGCACTTCCGTCAGAGTTTCTAATGTGAGTTATATAAACTTCCCCTTAATAGCCCAATTTTTTCCCCGTATTTTTCTCCTAAGTCAGATTATATTGGATGAAGTGCTTGAAGAGCATTTATTGATTAATCATTTTTCAATCTTTAAAAACAATTATTCACATGGAAAGGGCAATTTGGAGCATTTTCGTTAACAAGGAGGCTATTTATTAGGTTTTTTTTAATCTATGTGCAATTACGAAAAACGACACTTATTTTGAAACGGAGCGAGTAGTGTATCTGCCGTAAATCGAAATATTCCTCTAATTTCTTCATTTCAGTTTCACATAATTGATGAACAAAAAGTCATTATTTCTCTCATCTTTATCACCTTCTATAAATCAAAATTTATTTTCTCGAAATTTCAGCCAGCTGGAGGTCAAAGTAACATATCGTTCGGCGACGAACCAGAGGTAAAGACAGCAAAGAAAATCCACAACCAGAAATTTGCTGAGCTGACAGGCAACGGAATATTCAAAGGAGATGTGCCGCCAGGATCGGCTGAAAAGCCACTGAGTGTAGCCAAGTTGAGAGAAATGAGCGGCAATAATATATTTGCCGACGGTAAAGTCGAATCGAGAGACTACTTTGGTGGGGTCCGAAAACCACCTGGCGGTGAGAGTAGCATCTCCTTGGTTTAGCCTAATAAGACGAAAAATAGGTACGAGGATAATATGCTAATTTAATCTAGGAGTTGTTGAATTAGGATATTTATTATGGATTATGTTTTTCACTAATTTCATTTACTGTGTTTTGTATGGAGATATATACTGAAATCATCAGTTTCAACTTTCAACTATTTATTTTTCATCTGGCCCCATTATTCCTTGTTCTTGATTTTAATACTAATATATATATATATATATATATATATATATATATATATATATATATATATATATATATATATATATATGTGTGTGTGTGTGTGTGTGTGTGTGTGTGTGTGTGTCTCTAAAGACAAGAGCTAGGGTGAGATCTCCTATTCTTGCCATTTTTCATCAGATATCTTGCGATTTTTATTTTCTCTCTCTGTTCGCTCTTTTTGGATAAAAACTCTATATATATAAGATACATATTTTTTACATATAAAAAGATAATAAAACACACTATTTGTTGTTTCCCCCTTCCAAACAACCGGCATTCTATACTACGATATAGTTGTAATAATATATCTTTT